AAGCTGGGTGCCTCGCTGGCCAACAAGAGCGGCGGCGACGAGGACGAGGCGTGGTGGCCGTGTGGCGATGTGGATCCGCTGCCCATCAGCATCTCGAGTGCGCTCGGCCAGGCGCTGGGATGGGAGGGCATCATGCACCTGTGCTACGGCAAGGGCAGCCGTGCCGAAGAGGACGGCAAGTACGTCGCGCTCGGCAAGGCTGCGGCGCTGGACCAGGCGACCAAGGTGCAGGAGCGCAACGTGCTTGCGTGGAGAACCGGCGTTGCGAGCGCTGGCACTTCGCCGCCCAAGCCCGAGGCTCCAATGTCCATCCACGAGCTCGGGGTGGCGGATGCTGCAGCGTTGGACGGCAACTTTGCACAGAGGCTGAACCTTGATCCTGCGCATGCGCTGCCGGATACGACCAAGACGTCGGCGGTGCTGGAGCGGTTGCAGGCCAAGACGCCGCAGCGATCTACGACCGAGCCGTCCGCAGCGGCGACCGAGTGGCAGCAGGCGTCGCTGCTTTTTGGCACGCGCGTCAACCATGCGCGCACCTGGGAGCACTGGCGACTGCTCTTCATGAGCATCAAGGGCTGGATGGACGAGTACGAAAAGACGCGCGTGCGCTCGGGTCTCGCTCGGGAGATCGGGCTCGATCGACCGGTCGATGCACCGGCGCGCGAGGAAGACGGTGATGCAAGCGTCCTCCTCGCCGCACCAATCGACATTGAAGGAGGGTCCGAGCTGCAGGTGCCCGTCGTAGGCTCGCCACCATCGCATGCACACGTGCTCAAGCTGGCACGCGACAAGGTGGACGTCTCGACGATATCGCGCGTGCTGGGAACATCGCTCAGTGTTCCGCCGTGCGTGTTGGCCGACGCCACCAACCGCGCGCACGGATTCCGTCGTCGAACCGGCATCCCGGAGGGACTTCCACTAGGTCCTGGCGACGAGGAGGCGATCGAGTATACGTGGTCGCGCAAACAGCTTTCGGTCGAACATTTTGCGACTGCACTCACCATCAGCACCGACAGTGCGCTCCACTACTTTGCGCAGCTCAGTGTGGGCAATTGGTTGCATCGGTCGGCATGGGAACTCGACTACCTCGAAATGTGCGTCTTCAAATCGCCGCTGGTGGCGGATCGATTCCCACCGCCGGGAGAAGCGGTTGTAGAGGCTTCCCAGTCGTACAGAGCGCGAGAGGGGGAGGAGGATCGGTCGAGACTGTGTCCAAATCCGGACGAACGCGGCGCGTGGGATCCCGACACGTGGAAGACGTGGTTGGCGGGGATTAGGGAGGGCGATATCATTGTGCCGGCTGTGGCGTGGCAGGCGTGGTGGACGCTCATCTCGGTGCTCAACGGCGCGGATCGTTCGGGCAGGGCGTATGATCTGCAGGTCAAGACCAAGGACGAGCCGTTTGAGGCTCTCACCGATCTCAATGCAGTGTATCTCTAGATGCATTACAGCGCCGTATCGCAATGCAATGTTCAGCATCGCCTCAACAGGTGACGTTGAAGCACTGATCTGCACGCTGGTGAGTTGGTGTGAGCGGAAGAATAGTGGCATGTTGCATTTGCGGTGAACTGCGGCGCTGAGCCGTGTACAAGTGAGGGGGTTCGGACTAGTCTTCAGCGGGAGCAGCGCCGGGAGCGCCTGCGGCCGCCTTCTTGGCCGTCTTCTTGTCCTCCTCGATGGCAATGTTCTTTTCCGACGGACCGCCTTCGGCGTCGGAGGGGAGTTCGTGGAACGGCTTTGTGCGCGAAAGGATCAGATCGCGCACGTCGTCTGCCACATCCCCCTGCACGACGATCTCGTCGATTCCCGGGTTCTGCACGCTCTTGCTCACCGATGCACCCGTTGCGAAGCGCGAAGACAACCTAGCATCATCCATAACGTTTGGAATCAGCATCTCGCACAGACTAGATCAACGAGGGTTGGAGGGGGGAAACTTACGCTTTTGCTACGACTTTGAGCGCGGGAAGCGGCGGGGAAAAGAGGTGGAGGCCAATGATGCTCGTGGTGACTTTGCGCTTGGTGCGCGCCTCCTTCTTGAGCACGATGCGCGAGGCGGCCATCTGGGCACGTTCGCGCTCCTCCTTGGCGACGGTCTTGCGCTCCTTCTTGGCAGCCTCGCGCTCGAGATCCTCGGCCTGCTTGGTGGTGAGGTTGGCCAGGTTGGACGAGATCGCCTCTTCCGACCACAGCTGCGAGTAGAGCGCCGGCTGGTGCTCCTGCAGCCACGATCGGCACTTGGAGGGCGACGGTCCGAACTCGCAGTACTCGGGTGGGAAGGTGCATACGGCACAGTAGACCACCTCGCGCGGCTGCGGGCCGGTGGGAACGGAAGGTCCAGCTTCATTTTCGATATCGGCCATCTTGCAAGGTCGTCGGAAGGTGGTGACTGGGGTGCGTGTACAAGGTGGACTGCAAGAGAAGCGTGGGAGGCTGATGGTGAAGTGCGGTGACGGCGACATTTCTTCTCGCACGACACCAACCGGGAAAAAAACTCCACAAGGATCCTACATCGGGATAGGCTTGGTCCGATCCAATGAGATCTACACCAGACCGCCGGGGTCAGCTGCTTGGGCGGCGGTGCAGCCTTTTGACAGTCCGCCGCAGATCTTGGCTGGGCCTCGCCCTTGGCTGCAGGCTGAAGCCCGCTTCGCACGTCGGTCACCGGCACGGCCATGCTCGACGCGCATCCATCCATCGCTTCTCCTTTCGCTCTTGCTCTCACTCATCATCAAGTCGGAATACGCAAGGACTCTCCTTCTTTCTCCTGGATCGCCTACGGAACCTGGGGAACTTGTTCGGATAGACAAATAGACACCTGCTCCCGGGCTCGACAGTGCCGCGTGTGCATCCGCAACCATGGACGAGCTCGTTCGCTTTGTCAAGCAGCACCGCCGCCAGATCACGCGTTTCGCCAAAAAGGCGTTCACGTGGTGGAAGAAGAACCAGGGAGGAGGACAGCAGCAAGGCGGCGGTGGCGGTGGCGGTGGCGGTTCGTACGGCGGCTCGTACGGCCAACAAGGTGGTCAGCAGGGCGGCCATCAAGGAGGCTATGGCGGCTATGCTGGGGCTGCTGCAGGAGGCTATGCGGGAGCAGCTGGAGCAGGCGCTGGGTACGACCATCCGCCGCCGCAAGGCTCGTACGGTGTGCCGCAGCAGCAGCACGGTGCGCCGACGCAGGGCCCGCACTACAAGTATTCTGCAGACAACCAGGTGAACCAGCACGATGCCAACTACATGAACCTGCGCAACCAGGCGCGCTCCGAGGGCGACAAGATGGCGCAGTGCTTCGACCAGTCGCACAAGGCGTATGCACAGGGCGACGGCGGACGCGCCAAGCAGCTCAGCAACGAGGGCAACGCGCACAAGGCCAACATGGAACGCCTCAACCGCCAGGCGGCCGACTGGATCTTTATGGCCAACAACGAGGACTCGCCGCAGGGCACCGTGGATCTGCACGGTCTCTACACCTCCGAGGCGCTCGAGCGCACCGAGCAGGCAGTGCGCAACGGCCAGTCGCAGGGCTGGAACGAACTCCGCATCATCGTCGGAAAGGGCCTCCACAGCAAGGACCACCGCCAGCACATTGCACCCGCCGTCGAAAAGATGATGCGCGACTACCGTCTCGAGGCGCACCTCGACCCCAGGAACGCCGGCGTGCTCGTCGTCAACCTGCGCGGAAACGGTCAGGGCGGCGCCAACTTTACGCGCGACCTCGCCAAGCAGACCACCGGCAACGAGGACGAGTGCGTCATCATGTAGGCCCGTCTCGCAAGGTCTCTGCCTTGGGAGCTCGGTGCTCGGAGGTAGCGGCGGCTTCCTTGCTTGGTCTAGAATCAGTGTAATCACATACCCTTTCATCTGAATACCAAGGATCATCCTCTGAGGTGCACTTCACGCTTGTGCATCGACCGGCCTGTCGAACGAGACTGACAACGGGAGCAGGGAGGGATGTCCCAGCGTGGTTGCGGAGAAGGATTTTGAATGCTCGTATTTGTGAATTCTACTACGGGCTAACAATGCCTGACGTTTTCCGAGCACTGGCCAACGCGCTGCCAAGCAAGAAAGAGCAACACGGCCCCGCGCCTGTGCAGCACCACACATGCATGATTCAGCCTGTCACGACGGTGCATCTCCCCGTGCCTTCGAGGTCCGAGTCGAAGTAGAGGCACATCTGGTCGCCGCTTCCCGTTTCCGAGCCACCACCACTACCTCACTTCTTCCCTTGGTCCCTGCTCCCACACTCGTCCTGCCTCGGCAATGCTCCGTCGCACCTGCAACTAGAGCGCTCGGGCCATGGCAGCCTCACGCTGCGTTCTAAACTCGCTTCGAACGGCAGCCATCTTGACCTAGATACCCAGCTCGACCACCAATATGGCGTCCATCGCGGCGCAGGGCGACGCCCACCCAGGCGCACCGCTCAGCGTCGCCGCAGCCATCGCACTCGGCCTGGTGGCCAGCTTCATCCAGAGTCTCGGCTTGACCATTCAGCGCAAGTCGCATCTCCAGAACGAATCGCTGCCACCCGCACGACGCTCCACTGAATGGAAGCGCCCGCTGTGGCTCGTCGGCTTCGTCATCTTTCTGGTCGCCAACGTCGGCGGCACAGTGTTTCAGATCGGCGCACTCCCCATCGTCATGCTCGCGCCGCTCGGCGCTGTCAGTCTGCTTTACAATGCCGTGCTCGCACGCTTCCTGCTCAACGACCTCCTCTCCAAGTACATGGTGATGGGCACCGCACTCATCGCCTCCGGCGCCGTCCTGATCGGCTACTTTGGCGTCGTCCCCTCGCCTCCACACAGCCTTGACGAGCTGCTCGACCTGTACGCGCGCCCGACGTTTGTCGCCTTCGCAACCATCTTTCTCTTCCTCTTCGTCGGCGTACTCACCGTGTCGCACCTCGCCGACTGGCAGCTTCACACACGCATGTACCGCAACTCTCTGCCTAGCCGTCCGCAGAAGCCCAAGCATCGCACCAGTCATGGACTGCGCGGCCGTCTGCGAAGGCGTTGGTCCGCTCCCACTCTAGCACCCGTCGCCGAAGTCAACGAGAGCAGCTCCGGCATTGCCACGCCCGTGCTCGCCGGGCGCGACGAGGTCAATCGTCGCTCGACCGTCGGGCTCACCGCTTCTCCGCAGAGTGTTGTGTACGGTCGCACCATCGTCGCCACCCCCATCCCGCCCCTCGCCGCAGCCCCCGCCGCCGCACGCGACACCAACGGCGACGTCTCGTCGGCGTCGAGCATCCACAAGCAGGCAGATTCCAACGCTTCCTCGAAGCGCGACTATGGATCGCTTGGCAGGAGCGACTATGCCAACGCACGCAAGCGCAAAAGGAGCATCGACGTGCCGCGTCTCGAGCTCAGGGAGGCCGAGCAGCGCGTCGACGCCGAGACGGTGCGCCAGACCAAGCTCGGTCTCGCCGTCGCCTACGGCGGTGCAAGCGGCACGCTCTCGGGCGCCTGCCTGCTGCTCGCCAAGTCGGGCGTGGAGCTGCTCATGCTCACGTTTGCCGGGCAGAACCAGTTTGGCCGCTGGCAGAGCTGGCTGCTCATCGGCATCCTCCTCGCCGCAGCGCTGCTCCAGCTCTGGTACCTCAACAAGGCGCTCAAGCTCGCGGATCCCACACTCGTGTGTCCGCTGGCGTTCTGCTTTTACAACACCTCGAGCATCGCGCTCGGCCTCGTCTACTTTGACCAGATCGGCGCGCTGGCGTGGTACGATCTCGTGCTCGTCGCCGTCGGCACGGCCGTGCTGCTGGCGGGCGTGTGGACCGTGAGTCTGCACGGCAACGATGATCTGTGCGACGATGATCCCGAGACGCAGCCGCTGCTGGGGTCGCCCGCATCGTCGGTGCGCTCTCGCTCCTCCTTCGACGCCGACTACGAGGGCTTGCTGGCGGCCAACGGCGCCGGGTTGGTAGGGCCGCATCTGCCTCCAGTCTCGGTGTCGCCGCACTCGTCGTCGTTTGTAGACCACAATGTGGCGCCCCTGACGAGTCCTGAGGAAGCGGCCCTGACTCTGCCCGCGGCCGACGGCCAGCAAGCGGATAGCGGCGCACCGAGGGTGGCGCCTCGCTTGGGTGCCACGCCTGCTCGACGACGCTTTGGCTCGAGCGGCGCGCATGGTCAGCGGCGCCCCACGATCACGCTCGAATTTCCGCTGCGCGACGACATCTTTTCGCCCAAGCACGACGCAGCTTCGCCGGCGCCACACGATGTCGAGGCGGG